AAACCATAGCAGGCGGCGATGCTGGATGTATAATGCTAGACTTGGTAGTTTGGAGCACATGCGATAGCGCTTGACATTGGAAATTTGATCCTGTCAGAAGACTCTTAAGAGGCATCGAAGCCACCAACGGTCAAAGGCTTCGAGCGATAGGATGTCTGCCTTCCCGATAGACCATGTTTCGCAAGCATATACTAGCACCGGTCTGATTGATGCTCTGTATATCAGCTGCTTAGTATGTAACCTGATATCTGAGTGAGACCACAGTGATATAGCTGGCAGCCTAAATGCATTTCGTGCCTGCGCGATTCGGTTCTTGATTTCTTCTTTGTCCTGTCCGTTGGCTAGCGTATTCGAGCCCAAATAGCGGAAGCAGCTAACTTGCGGGTCTAGAGGACGCGGTTGCCTGTTTGTGTTTCCAACTAACTATACAACCCATCGTGGGAAACCCCATTAGCGTCGGGTCCGGCGTGTGGAACGCACAGAATATTTATACCCTGTTTCCAGACGATGACTACCCTCCAAGCCTACGAATCATGACCTCAAAACGCCTGGTAAGAACTCCAAATCACGCTATTTGGCCTTCTAGCTGATCTCATGCTAACCCTAGCTTATCGGCGGGTTGCATGGTTCTGTCCTCCTACTTCGTTTAGTTCAGCGCGATCGGGTCTTCTGCATGATATAAGCAACCCGTGACAGACTTCGTGTTTTTCAAGCCTGCCAGTCGATTGGTGTTTTCTGGTTTTTGCTGCAGTCGGTCAGTCAGCCCTACCTAAGTTCTGGACCAGAAAGACGCAAAAGTTTAAATTTATTCTACTTTAGAATTCATCTTCTGTTCGCCGAAATAAGTTTATAGGTTTGCTGACGTTTCGGACAGCTGGGCCGGCTGCACTTTGTCGAAGCCAATACTGACTTTATCGATCAGTAAGTTTAAAGTTGCGGCTGAAAGTGTTGGCCTTGAGCTGATCGATTTTTCTCCGTTTCCTGTTTGGCCCTGTGTGTGGATTTTGGCTTGGCGCGACGGAAGTTGGTGTTTTGTTCCGTCCCCACGGTAGAGGATGCTGGTAATCCTGCTCCCTCTTCCGGTGATTTCGTCACAGGGCCGTCTTCGTCTGCAAATCCTTACTTCGGCTTGACCGTGTCTTGTCCTTTACTTACCTAATGGCGTAGGATTTTTTAGGCCGCAGGGAGGTCCAGATGCGTGTTGACAGAGTTGGCGTATGAGTACCACGCTTCAAGCGTCAATCTTTCAGCCAGTAATTAGACACTCAACCATTGATTCGTGGCTCAAGTTGTGTCGGCTACCTACGGGAATATGGGAGCCTCAGAATGAAACGGAGCAGCTTTTTTGTTTTGCAGTCAACATAGATCAGCGAAGTCTGTGTAAGTTGTATGTGCTACCGGATTCTCTATCTCCTTCCTCTCTTCCATTACCCACCCATTTCACGGCAGGCGTGTACAGATTTGCTCGGTTAGCTCTCTAATGCGTGACACCTATGTAACGAGCCCTTTTTGGTGAGCGGCACGTAGCTGCTTCCGAATGCAACTCCTGCGGAGTCCGCTGTGGGAAGCATTCATCAATGTGGATTTGACTAAGGCATGCCAACTCTTACCTACACCAAATTCATTTCGGCAAAGGTAGTTTAAGTAGTGCCCCTCATATACCCCTGGTCCCAACATTTTTTTCTTACGGAAACGGTAGTTATAGGGTTTTGAGGGTGGGGAAATAGGATAGGCAGTGAAGGAAATTTGTAGAAGTAAGTGGAAAGTGGAAAAATGTAGTTGCGTTTGTTTCCCGCGACCGCTGGGAGTAAGTGGTTCCGCATTTAAGTTGGACTTCAGGTAATTTGAAGTAGACGACCTCCTAACCACTATTTTTTATTTTTTAGGAATTTCGAGAAACCTGCACTTTTATAATCGGGTTTTCCCGCGATAGACTAAACGATAATACGGTTTAGGAAAATCTGCAGATATACATCAACAAAATTTCTAAATACAATAAAATAAAAATGCAAATAGCAGTTATTAAAGTATGCTACACTACCTGTCCTAATTCCCCACTCATACAACCCCTATAACCACCGTTTCCGTAGGAAAAAATTCCGAACATAGGGCTATATGAGGTGCACTACTTAAACTACTCTTTTTTACACTGCCTGAAGGGGGATACTTAGATGAGAATGAGATATGACAGCCTGATTCAGACCACCAGTGTACCACTCCGCATAAATACACTTTGCACTAACTACTAAATATTAGGTTTAAACCATACGCCATAATGGTGGCATAGTTATTAGTTAAAAGCCCAGGCACATGTTTATCCGATATTCTGCCGCTGCATGATACAGCATTGAGGGATTCGGCTCATCAGTAGGTTCCCCAGCTGCCTGTTGGCAGCTTTATATTACACGGTCATCCCAATGTGATTGCTAGACTTCGGTGCAAATTTTCATCTCAACTGTCGATCTATTTATATAAACCTCATTGGCAGAAGGTCATTACTAGCAAAGACATGGGACACTAGGAAGGCCTTTGCTGCCTTATTAGGCGTCATCGGCTGGTGATACCCAACCCCATTTTGGCCACTGAAATTGCTGCCACACCGAGATTTGAACTCGTGATCTCTCCCGCCG